AAAGGACCGGAACTCATCCGCTGGATCGCCCGTGAGGATCCTCGGCTGATCTGGATACTCTCGCGGAGTTTATCGCCTAACCTGGGCTCGGGCTTTGGGTTTGGGCGGCTACGCTTGTCTAGTCTTGCAGGGTGTTCCCAGATCTGAATATTTGCAAACAAACATCTGCATTCCCGTGGTCAGGGATCCCAGGCACTGAGACTTTCAAAACAGGGGTTCGGGTTTTAGGGGCAGCGGGCGGGCATGCACAAGCAAAGAGACATGGAACAACTCACAATCCTTTCGGGTTCAAACCAGGGTTAAGGCAGCAACAGGTCTGGACAAACAGCCGTGGTACGTGCACCAGAAGCCACTGTCGAACCTGCAGCTCGACTTGGAAACGATGCAAGCCTGGACCTGCTAGCTATTGACAATCTCCCGAATTTCTACTTTTCCTGCTCCTACTCATCCTACTCACAGCCTGCCTCGCTGTTTTGCCACTGCTACTGCTACTGCTCGTATTCCTACTGCCTGCCACTCCTGCTGGTACTGCGACTGCTAATGCACGTGCGGTTACAACTCCTGCTGCTGCTGCTGCTGCTTCTACTAAATACTACTACGACTACTACGACTACTACGACGACTACGACGACTACGACGACTACTACTGCTGCTGCTGCTACTACTACTACTACTACTACTACTACTACTACTACTACTACTACTACGTCTAATGCTGATGCTGCGATTTCTACTACGACTACGTTGACGACTACGACTACGACTACGTACTAGTACTATAGTACTAGTACTAGTAGAGGCAGCAGTACAAGTAGCAGTAGCAGTGCCAGTACTACTACTGCTGCTGCTACTACTACTACTACTACTACCACTGCTACTGCTGCTGCTGCTGCTACTGCTACTGCTACTACTACTACTACTACTACGACTTCGACTACGACTGAGACAACGACTACGACCACCTACTGCTACCAAGACCACGACTACGACGACGACTTTTGCTGCTACTACTACTACTACTACTGCTACTACTACTACTACTACTACTACTACTACTACTACTACTACTACTACTACTACTACTACTACTATACTACCACTGCTACTACTGCTACCAGAGTGTTCGGAAAATACATTCGGAAATTCATGGAAGATGGAAACGAAGTTGATCCCCGGATCTCCGAAAAATCGACGAGTCTGGCGCACCTGATTCCAGCCCTTTTGTTCCACGACAAGGCATAAAAATGGAGCCGAAATCTGAAAACCTCAGGGAAAGAAAGCATTGTAAAAATGTCCGGGGAACAAGTCGTTGTTGTTCATGCTAATTCAACAACATTGTGACTCTAGTCCGACAATTCAATACATGGATTCAATTCTGGGGTGAAATGAACTTCCAGCGGCCCCTTCCGTAGCAGGTCTGCAAGTCGCAACAGCAACGGCGGCGACAACGATGTCTATGTTGCTGCAATTGCTTCACGACTAGGTCGACCGCGCTGTCACCGCAGCTACTACCACTTGTCATTCTACGTCTTGAGCGTCTTGTGCGCAACCCCGCGACCACTAGTGCTAGTGGTGTTGTGACTGCATCGACAACACTGCCCCGTCACTATCCTTCGATTTTTTTGTCGCTTGTCGGAGCCGTGCACCGTCGTTCGCAAACTCGGCCGGACAAGTTCAATGATCATGGGTAAGTTAGGCTTCAGCACTTTAGGGCTTCGGGATAGCCTGAAGCTATCAACGACAAGTAGCTTCAGTTGGCTGCTGTTGAAGCGCTGTCGGCAAGACATATTGGCATGCCGCTTTCTTCTGGCTATGTTACACTGACTTTAGACTTTAGTTGGCGCTCAAAACTAACACCGCCCCCAAGCGGCCCTAAACCGCTAACCCCAAAAGCCCAAATCCTGTCCTAAATCCGAAACTCCAGACCCCCAACTGTCACCCTAAACCGCTTCAACCCGGAACTCAAAAAGCTTGCGACCCAAAAGCTTCCAGTCTGGATCTTCGGACAGCACTGCGAGACCGATCTGATGCACACTGCAATCCGTAAAGGACCTCGGAAGCCGGGCAAAGGGCTTTATGGCTTTAGCTATACTTAGTCTAGGGCTTCAAGCTTTAAGAGATACGCTTAGTTTAGAGTATGCCTTACCGTTCAGATTCTGCTTCGTAGTTGCGATAGTCTAGTCTGGGTTTCCCCATGCTTGCTCTGTAAACATCCTGCTGGCGTTGATCTGCCCAACTCCCCTCCTCCTAGGGATGCTCAAGACTCGATTTGATGCACGATCATGGGTGTCGTCCAGGGTATCCATTCGAAGTCTCTGGAGTTTGTGCCTAGCCGTGTGGGCGGCTAAAAATTGAAGGAAAAGGGGATGCAGTATTGGGTCGTGCTCCTGTGCTACTCCTCTAATGCAAAACAAAAGCTCCACGGCTTGCAAACACTCAAGTTGAACAAGGGCACATGTCCACCTATAGAATTGGACTCCCAAAGCCCTGACAGGCTTGACCGTAAAATCGAAAGCGCCAGCCTCCAGCACTTAGATCGAATAAGCCAGCTCTGCTAACCGTTTCAAAGAGCTTTCAAAAAGCACCAAAAAGAAAAACAGAAGACTGAGAATGCACACCCGGCGTCAGTGCGCGGTGCAGGGTGCCCTCGTGGCCTGCACCGACACTGCTCCTGCTACGAGTTGGGTTTTGACACTCGTGCTCGAACAGCCAGGCAAGGACCGTGAACGGCCATGTGGGAGTTTCCGAATATACGGGTACCGTATTTAGGGGTCCTTATAATAAGGATCCTACTATTTAGAGTACTATATTAGGGTCCCCTATTTTCGGAAGCCCCATGTAAGTTTAGAGTTGAGGCTTTTGGGTTCGAGGCTTCTGGGTTGATCGTGCGGACAGGCACCAAATGACATATGGGTGGTTGTCAAAATTATGGTCCCTTTTTGTGTACCCTAAATAATAGGTACCGTACTATTTTGGGGACCCAAAAAGGAACCCTAATTTTGACAACCACCTATATGACAGTGTTTCTAGGTTGTCGTTCTGTGGGTTTCCGGTGTTCAATGAGAGGCTTGGGGCTCTTGAACCTTTCGTTCTGGGGATGAGAGCTGTCGAAGGCGACGGCGGGTGGCTTCTGTAGCTTTAGACTGCTGGGATTAGGAATTAGAACTCTCCACCTCGTGGTCAGAGCGGCAATGAATGTCTAAGGCCTTCAAGGTTCATTCTAGTATTTCGGGGCATAAGGATGGTAGGGTATGTGTGGGGGCTTGTCTGGGGTTTGGGATTTCCACAAGTCCCAGACGACTTCTTCCAGAGTCTTCGTGTTCCAGTTATTAACTTGAGGTGCAAACAGGGGATAGCATCGCTTCGATGTTCGGAACGGCTGGGAAATGCCCGCTTACAGCCCAAACCCTACTCCCCAAAACCGAAAAACCCAAAACCCTGAAGTCCTAAACGCAACCTCACAACCCCAAACAAAACAATACCCTAAAACCCTCAAACCTTAAATCCCTACAACCCTAAAACCCTAAAGCCCTAAACACTGGAACCCCTAAAACCCTAATAATACCCTAAAACCCCAAAAACCCTAAAGCCCCTAAAACCCTATTGACTTCGAGACAGGGCTCTTGCGGCCGGTCCCCAAGCCGACGCTGCTCGACTTGCGAGCGCGGGCCTGCGTGGCTTCCCGAAACCCGCCCCAAACACATATTACTGCAAATGTTGCACCTAAACGCCCCTCAAAGCACTCGGGCCCCGCTTTGGTGTTTTTTGACAAGTGTGCGAGAGAATCGAAGGGGCCGCCAAAGCCGGAACAGGGACCCTTCTGGTAAATCGTCTTAAAGATAAACATGAGACGGCAATCGAAAAAAGAAAAGCATACAGTATCTGTCATGATTAAGGCTGTCCTTCATCTCGCCCTCCGACTTCGTGCGAGACACCTCCGTCTTAGTCCGAGAAACGGCCGCCATGCCATTCAGGTCTCTCTCGCCAGGGCGGAAACTCTGGCACTCGGAAAGGCGGCGGGGTGTAAGTGTCTGAAACTTGGGTCAGCTGGGAGTTTGGGTATACGATCTTCATGGGCTTCTAGTTTCTTCCCTCGGCGTCAAGGGTTATAGTGGCTGAGGGTTGGGCTATTCACATGATACGAAAACCGTCAGGGGCAGCCTGTAAGAATACATTACTTTGCTATACGTCACGGTTGACGGCTTGAGTCATAGGGCCTTAAAGAGTTCATGGGCCGCTTCGTGGGAATATTGCCGAATTTTAACGGCTTATTCAGTCGCAATTGGGCTTAGGATGCCTTCATTCGTTACTCAGTGACATGAGTTGGTGTTCAACTCGAGCCACAATCCTGCAGTGAGTTCCTGTCTGATAACTTTCCCACGTCCCACCGAAAGCATCCTCAAACCCGAAACTTGGAAAGTCTAGTACACGTTCCTGAAGCTTCCACCAAAGACAAACCAAGCCGGAAACCTGTGAACCCCACGTCCGACCCCACCGAGCCCTGCTGAACTCGAACTTTCCTTGAAAGCTTCCAAACCCAGTCATTGCCGGGATTTGGCACTCAGACTGACGCAAGCCAGGGAATGTCTAACACGACAGTCTGACAAGGTACAGCTGTCTAGTAGACATGCAAACAACTTGACAACGGATTGAGCTCTTGCTTAATCCAAAACCGTGGGCTGGACTGCACCTTTCCCGCAATACAGCTGTCTCACAGTTCGTTTATGCATTCCGAATGCTCCACATGTAGGCCTGAGGCGACGCACACGGATGACTACACCAAAGCCCTGCCTGCCACAACTTTAAACCTGAAACGACTCCGACACCAGTGAGCGCCATGTCCCAAATGCTCGCAGTTCGATCGCTAGACAAGTTTACGTTCATCAACCAAAAGCTTAAAATCTCAAAACATCAAACAACAAAACCGCACGGCCCAAATTAATCGGACAGACCTACGTAAACCCGGAATCCTGAGCCCCTTCCGTGACCGGGCGCGCGGCCCCGCGCACGCGCCCGAGGGCCTCAAGCCGAGGGTCTTCTGCGCTGGATTCAGGACCCGCTTCTAAAGGAACCACTTCGAAGAAACGAAGTACGATTAGCACCAAGCCCCGGTAGTGTTTAGGGTCTAAGAAAGATCAGTCCAATGCACTTCACTCGTTCGTATGACTGTATTGAGGACCTGACAAGCGACCGAACAGCTCCGTTCAGCACTTAATCATATTTCCAGGGCTTTGGAAAGCTTTGGCATTTGGGAACCCTATTAAGGGGTGAACCCCTCTACTCTAACACCCTTATATACTATGCTCAAAGAAAATCACACAGGTCATGAGTCGACTTTAACACCTTTAACAAAAGATCGTCGAGGCTAAGAACTTGTGCTCAAGTGCTTCGGGTCAGGGTGTGAAATGTTCAAACGTTTTCGGAAACCTCTCCAAAGTTGGGGTTTGGGGAGGTGTGGGAGCGCTGGGCCTTGCAAACTTGATCGTTCAGGCTCTTCGGGCTCAAAAGTTTCGAGGATGTGAACTACGTTCTAAACAACTTCAAGTTCACTACCCCTGTCTTCAGTGACGGAGAAAACCGCATCAGCCAGGGTTCCTGCAATGCAACCTCTGGAACGAACGCCCAGCTCACGGCTTCTTCAAGGCTTAGGAGTATTTGGAGCGTTCTCAAGATTCGCCGTCTCCTTTGGAAAAAACTCGGGGCGTCCTTGCAACAAGGATCCTACGACCTTCGGATTCTAAGGCTCCTGCCTACTGTACAGATTTTTCAGCACCGCAAACCAACCTGGACCACACTAGTCGCCCCAGTCTTTGTAAGAGCAGACGGAAGACAACCCGAAAGAAAGCTGCAAAAGTGCAAAGACACGGAGAGATGTATTTCTGGGCAACGCCTGAATCCTTGATGCCCCAATCCCGATATACTGCAACCCAAATCCCCGAAACCGTAGCCGTAGCACTTAGGTAGGCCCTGATGCCACCCTGAATGATACCATACGAAAACCTAAAGGACTGTCAACGTGACTCCCCAAGACCCCTGAATGCCCCAAAGCCCACAAGGTCCCCAACTTAAACCCAAACTGCCCCCAATCCGGGACTGGCCTGGTGTGCACTTTCCACCAGTTCCTGGAGCTGCGCCGGGGCCACGACTTTCACACACTCGATCCGCAGCTGCCTTTGGCTTTATCACACTTTGTCGGGTTTAGGGTTGTGTCTTTGTGCAGGGGGGCGGGGGGCAATGTTTCTGTTTGCTTCTTTGCTTGCTGGCGGGCCCTTCTTTCCTCTCTGCGCGAAGGAAGTTGGTTCGGAGTTTCTCGTTCCAGGGGCTCTGTTTAGCCTGTCGGTTTAGAGGGAAGCTCCTCGAAACTTACACAAAGTCAAAAAGGCTTTCCTCATTCTTTGGAGGTAAAGCAAAGGGAAAAGCATGAACATTGCTCCGGCTTTTAAAGGTTCTGTGCAGAAGGATAGACCCCGTGAAGCTTTGAACTACGAGCCCCACAGGTGCCAAGAAGGAACTGTGCAGCTGACATTCTCTGTTCAGGAGGTTACGATGACGTTGGGGTACCCTAGATCCCGAAGCTCGAAAACCTCAGCAGATCTCAGCAGCCCGCTGGCCTTGACAGCCATGTCGCACCCGAAGCCTCAACCCGAAATGCCATCTTAATGTCATAAGGTCATGAGTCATGAGGAAGTATCAGAAAACGGGAGACCCGAACATAGTAGAACCATCGTGGCCAGGAAATCGGAGATTTGCCAGGGCACGAGGCACGAAGGATAGCGCCCGCAGCTACCCTCTCCTTCGCGAGAGGTTTCCAAGGCAAGACACTAGCCCAACAACTAGGATAGTATGTTGCGTTTACTCGTGCAGAATTTACAGTGTACTTCGATTGAAGCGCATTCACGCTCCTTTACAGTATAACCTCGTTGGCCCGGGTATCCTTCTTGCTCTTCGGGAACAATATGCTTATCTCTCAGCTACAACGTCCTCAAACCCGCTCTTGCTGATCATCAGGATCCATCCAAAGGGTCCCTGAAGCCTGAGACAAGACATTGGACCTACAGCTCGTCAACCCCGCAAGGCTGATCTTCAATCTGCCTCTTCACAGCCACAAGTAACTTCCAGCCCCAGGACCAAACAATTCCTGCACACAGAATCTTCGGTCCTCAACCCTTCACCCGAAATTTCGACTTTTGGAGATTATTGGCATCCTTCCGCAAAAGCCTGATTGCCAAATCCTTCGTTGCTCTTGGCTCTGGGCTCTAGTGTTCAGGCGTGCTGCCCTGCAAAGCCGTCTTTTCAATGCCTCCACGCCACATTCTTGCGGAAGAACTGCAACCCAGCTGAAGGCTCGGGAGGCTTTGGGATCTTGGAGATGGGCTCTGGTTGTGGGCGTTGTGGGCCCTTGGTTGGGGTTCAGGCCGGGACTGCCCAAGGGTGCGAGTCTCGGGAAGCCTCAGGCATCCCCGACGCGGTGAACATCTCGTGCTACGGGTCCACCATGAGGGCCCTGCTGTGTAACTTGCTACTTTGAACAGCAGGTCGCATTCAAAGCAGCCCTCGTGGTGCGGAGCACAGGTATAGGACAGCAAACAAAAATCCTCTTATCCGTTTTTTAGAGCCACTGGAGAGCTCCAGGACAGGTGCACTGCGTCCCCTCCGTTCCTTGCACCAAAGCTCTGATAGGAAGTATATGGAGGTAATTATACTGGCATCAGCCAACAAGCACTGGGTCTGTGGAGGGGATCGAGGTGCCGGAGTCTTTGGCTCAGGCATTTTCGATGCTCAGCTCGACGATTCGGTTTGAAACCTCCTTCATGGTCGGATAGTCGAACATCAGCGATGAAGGGAGCCTGAATATAAGGCCAGGGCGGCTTTCATAAGTACTCAGGCTGACGATTGTACCGTGCCCAAGCTCGTAATAGAACCCTTCCGGCGAGGCTAGAGGTCAGTTTAGACAACGCCACCCACTCCAACACGCCATCTCATCGACGACAGTTTGACATTCGCACGAAGCGGGGGACCCGTGTAAGGAAGCCACTTGCAGCCAGGATGCTTGACACCAAGTTGCTGCTGCAGACCATTTCTGAAGGAAACGGCTGTCAAGCTGTCCTGGGTCAATGGTTCAGGGCTTAGCTTCAAACCATTTTTCCAAAAGAGGTGAGCCGTTTTGAAGGATAAGCGATGACCAGCCTCAGGATTACAAGTCCTCCGCAGGAAAACTTGCAGACCTCTTCTTCAATTGGAGATGATTCTGCTTTGCATATGCTTCTATATACTTCTATACACACACACCTACCAAGCCGCACATCCAGCTGGGGATGGAGAGGGCTAGATCCCGATTGAAACTACAAACTACCCTGACCCTGCTTGACGAAGGCTGTGACCGCTTAAAGGCCATGTTGGCTTTACTGGATCTTCTTCGTGCTCGCATGAGGCCTCTTCAGTGCCTAGCCTGGTCAGATGATAATACAATAACCTGACGTGGTATCCTCCTGTCAAGGTTCCAGACATACGAGTAACAAGTAAAGGTGAGTAACAAGTACCCAAGGGGTTGCAAAGTAGCACATGACCTGGTCTAGGCCTAGGTTGAACTTACACGGGGCATGCTGTCGACAAACGAAGATCGACGTGTCTCAAGCAAAATCCGGTTCGCCGCAACACTGGATGGGGATTTGTCTTGCGTCGAGGAACCATGCCACTGTCCATGAGCGCACTATCCAGGAAGAGCTCGTCATCGACGCCGATAGCCTTGGGGCAGAAAAAGGCCAGCAGACAAGCTTGACGTTGTCCGTTGATGGTTGTGTCCTTCTCTCAACAACTCGCCGCCGCCGTCTCCACCACCATCAGCAACAGCACCAGCACCCGGCTGCCTCCACCACACCGACCACCACCACCAACAACGAAAACCTCACCACCACAACCACCACCACCACCACAACCACCACCACAACCACCACCACAGCCAACAACAAGAACAATAACCACACACAACAAGAACGAAGCCAAGACATGAGACAAAGAATAACAACAAACAAAACATCCAAACAGCAGCAGCAACAACAACAACGACGACAACAAAAATCATGACAACAACCACGACAACAGCCACTACAACAACCGCAACAACAACCACGACAGCAACAGCAGCAGCAGCGGCAGCAGCAGCAGCAGCAACGACAACAACAACAACAACAACCACAACCAGAACAACACCAACCAACACCACCGCGAGCACCACAACAGCAACAGCAAAGGCAATGGCAACAACAACAACAACAACAACAACAACAACAACAACAACAACAACAACAACAACAACGACACCGACACCGACACCGACACCAACCAACACCACCACCAACAACAACGGCAACAACAACGACGCCGACAACAACAATGCCAAGACCAAGACCAAGAAGAAGAAGAATAAGAAGAAGAAAAATAACAGCAACATCATCACAAATCAACCACAAACACAAAACACAAACAAACAAAAAACAAACAAAAAACAACCAAACAACCACACACAACAACAAAACACACACACACACACACACACACACACACAGTCACACACACACACACACACCAGCAAGCATGCAAACAAGCCCAACAGCAGCAACACCAACAGCCCAATAATCAACAATCAGTCACCTGTAATCAGTAAATGACAACCAACAACCAGCAAAACAGCGAGGGAGTAGTCCTAGTCGTGCTACTCCAATAAGCAGCAGCAGCAGCAGCAACTGCTGCGTAAACACCACCACTTCACTATGCCCAAAAACTCTTAATTTGAGCCCCGCGAGTACTTTGCACAACTCCTGTGGTGTTCGCGCCTTCCGAAAATACACAAAACACCTAGGTGGCAACATACTCATACTCGTCATAAACCGCCCAGGCGCCTAGTAGCAGTAGTAGTCGTAGCAGTATAGTAGTACCACAGTTATTCGAAATACTACTACCGCTGCTGCTGCTCCTGCTGTGCCTGCTCCTACGACTGAGACGACGATGACTGCGTCCCGGTGCCCGTTGTCTAGCGTAGGTCCTCCTTTTCGTCCGAAGGCTTTAGAGCCGAGCAGCTTGTCTCGCCATCTCTTGGACCGTCGACTGGCAAGGAATCAATAGCAAACCGCGAAGGATTTGGACGTCTTCAACCAAGAGAAATCGCCGTTTCATCAATAGCAAGACTGCGCTCGGGTCGATACACAAAAAGCAGCAGAAGGTGGAATCTATGTTGCATCTTTACTACTCAGCTTTCTTATCCGCCTAATTCCCCTGCAGTCCCCTCAGCCCATGAATCCGAGAAATTCCGCACACTCTCAGCGCCATGGGCCTGCACCATGTTCGGGTCTAAGCCAACCTGGCAGCAGCGGTTGAAGGGCCCAAGGCGTGTTTGGCTTGAGGACTAAACCTTTCTAAATCATTTTTTAATGCACCCTGATGCCCTAAGCCTCAAACCCCAAACTCCTTTAGGTTGGGTTGGGCTCTGGGGGCCTTTGCCCAGACCAAGAACCTAGAGACCTCATGCTAGCTCGTCAGCAAGGTTTAAGTCTGGGGCTCAGGGACAAGGGCTACTGTAAGGGCTTCCACAAGGTATTATGGGGGGCTACTATAAAGGTGCGTTCAGGAGTTCAGGAGTTGAGGATTTTGGTTCGCCTTGGGACTCCGGGCTTCGGGTTTGGGACTCCGGGCTTCGACTCGAACAGTTGGGCTCTGTGACTCTGGGTTTCGGCGCTCACACTCGGACAATCTAGGGTAGGCATGTTGTTTGGAGTCGGACGAGTGAAATTTCACTGGGAGGAAAGTCTAACTATAACCAACAGGGTTTAGGGTTTCGGGTGTCCCGGGCAATCCAAGACAGGCGTGTCCAGGTGGGCCGGCAGAGACCAGCAAAACCATACGTCGCTACTTTGAGACACGGCCGGCGAAAACAGAAGACACTTAGCCCTCGTGTACATCAGCTCTTGCCAAGAGCTCTGCACAGGAAGCGGTTTGAAACTCGGTTTCGGTTTTGGCGGCAGGGTTCTGGGCCTAAAGGGCTGCGTCATCGAGGGTTCGGGATTCAGTTGGGGTACTATAGGGGCCTTAATAAATAGAATATGAATAGGGTTGGGCGTACATTATAATAAGGAAACTCCAGAATTCCAAGAGAATTAAGAAGGCCCCTATATTACTTCAGCATCTCTTCCAACGGTTCCCCACTCCGAAGCTCAAACCGCAAGCAGCCTGAGCCTCTCCCGTTTCCTCTGCACATGGCACACAATGTATCAGACTTCCTGGTACCTCCTTGACAGCAACAACCTTGAGAACTCCTCTAGCTAAACCTTATGAACCTAGCAGCGCAACATCTAGCTTTGAATGCAAGCGGAAATTTTGTCCGAGGACCTCTTTCACTGCGACCGCCGACGCAGCTTCCGCGGCCCCACCGGCCTCTTACAGTATCAAAGTTTCAGTGACGCCCAAGAAGGTCCCAAGCCCTGTGACCGGCACGCAGGCCCTGGGACTCTCGTTGCGAGCTTAAAGTTTGGGACCTTGTAGTTTATGACCTGCAGCTTCGACACGGCATGTATCAGTGCAGCGTGCCTACCCTGGGTAATATTCAATTGGGGGCGTGGTTGAATTCCAACATCCTGCACCATCGCGGCTGGGGGGGTGCACTACCACTTTTTGGATATCGAGCTCTATGGCTCGTCGGTTGCGGCTACTGTAAGCCCGGACTGCATGGTTTGGAAGTTACAATTTGAAGACTGGACAGAGGGGCACCCCTAGAACACAGGTCTCTAAAGTTTCCCGGAA